GTATTGGGAGAAATGCTCTAAAAGATGTTTGTCAAAATCCAACTGTAGATGTTTCATCTACAATTCCCAAACAACTGCTTGCATTCTTACCAATGAAAGTTGCAAAGTATCCAATACTATCAATGAGAATGTTGCTTCTTATGAAAGATCTGCATTTTGAGATGTGACATGTTACACTACCAATTGTGGATATTCAAGTGAATTTATTGTAGATGATTTGATTGCTTGTAAAGACAAATACATATCTGAGGCTACTTGTGAATATTTTGCTTATATGTTTGATAATCAAATGAATCAATGTTCAACAAAAAAAACTTTTTATTCTGATATTGTCTCGCCTGCTCTAAAAGTATCAAATAATATAAATAGCTGTGTTAATGGACCAGTGTTTAAAGGCACATTTAGGCAGAAAGATGCAAAGTTAATATCACTGAGAATGAAGCTGATGGAACTTGTGATGATGTTACTCTAGCTATGGAATTTAGTTTAAGAATACCATGGCCATCTGTAGATCATTCTAATATTGAGGTTTTTGGACATAATTTCAAAAAGTGTATAGATAATTTGAAAGGAATGCCACCTGCTGGGATTTTGGTATATGTTACTTTAATTATGCAAGTTGATCCACTGTTTAAAGGATCTTTTCCGGGTTCCTCTTTAATATCTAGATATATTGATGACATTATTGTAGTGACAAAACCAAATGGGTCTAAAGGAAAACTCCAAAAAGAACCCAATAACAGAAATGCTGACATACAACTAACATGATCAGATAGTCCAAAAGCTGTTACCTTCTTAGATCTAGACTTCAAAATCACAAACAACTACCTATTGTGGAAAACACATTTTAAGGACACTGACTCAACACCACTACTGAACACTACATCAAATCATCCTAAACATACTTTCAAAGGCATCCCAATGAGCCAACTGATCAGATACGTGAGAAACTGTACATATCTAGCAATGGCTATTAAACCATTCAAAGAACTAATCAAGATTAAAAAGGACAATGGATACACCTACTCCATGATGAGAAACACCATTAGAAAATGGAACACCAGGACTTTTGAAGTAATGGAACTCTCATACAGGGTAGTAAACTACCAAAACATTAGGTGCAATACCTGTAGGAGATTGGACTCTAAAAATATTATCTATGATATTTTTGAGAAGAACCACTTGAAACTACAAAAAACAATGTCTTGTAGCACTGAAGGTTGCATTTACATCCTCCAGTGTTCAACTTGTACTCTAACATGTTGGAATGACACAAGACTCTATTAAGAGCAGATTGGGCACCCATAACCTGGCTTGTAAAAACAAAATTGATAAGCCATTATCTCATGATATATCTGAACATGGAATCAAACAGTTCAACATATACATAGCAGCAATAGCACCTATTGATCTCCCAGAATCAGAAACAGTAATATATCAACCACCAGGCAAATATTGGTTAATGAACAAAAAAGTTGATACTATAATGGAGGAACATATGAGAAAACTTTGTGAGCAAAACTCTTAGACTCTTGATCTAGAACCACTGATATCCAGACCAACATGTAAAAAGGATACAATGTGTTAAATGCTAAAAAGTTCTCTACAAAAGTGCCTCAAAAGTAGATGTCTTTTCATACATATATATTTTATAATCTGCTGTTTTTTAAAGATCCAACTCAGCACATTTGCAATTTTTGTGAACTATTCCCCAAAATGAAATTTTAAAATGGTTATATTGCAAGCATACGTGTATAGGTTATTATTCAATTGATTTTGAGATATTTAATTTATTTCTTTAATTAAAGTAGAAATGATTGAAGGCTTGCGTGAATTGGAGCAGTGACGCTTTGGCCCAGTTTAGGACATTTCAGTCCCCATAATGAATATTAAATTGTTTTTTTTGTTATAGAAATAAACATAATTCTTGAACAATTAAAAAATATATAATTGTCATATTTGTGAATTATTTTGCACTAAAACTATCATCAAGAGGCACAAATTCCTGGGTATGAATGCCTCAAAATTGGCCAAAATGGCCTGGTCCTGTGAATCTTATAATATAATTCCCAAAATAATGTTACTGAAAATCAACAAGTGCAAACAGACCCTACTATTTTAATGTTACGGATTGTAACAATTTTATAGAAGATTCATTTGAAATAGATGAGGAAGAACAAGCAGATCCAGATGAAATATTTCATCTAACCTCTAAATTCCATCGTATTCTTCAGGATATTCAAATAATTACAAATTATTCCAAACCAAAAAAGTCTTTTTCTAAGTCTGAGTTGAGGCTATGGACTGCTTTATTATTTGTTTTTCCAAATGTACCCATTCAAGCATGTGCTTTCATTGGGCACAAACAAATTTCAGAAAAACCCAAATAATATATTATAATACATATTTAAATTACAAAATAATTTCATGTTTTTAGAATTTGGAATATGCAAGTGAAAATATAACTAGCAAAGCCTCTAAAAGTATGATAAGAATATTACTAGCACTTCCTTTTCTTCCTTCACAAGTAATATACCATATTTTTCATCTTTAGATAGAGTAAAAGATATTGGCTCAATAATAATTCTTTGCAGGTTATATGAGCAACAATTGAACAAAATTTTGATTCATAAAATTGCATGAAATATCGTATGTATAACCTAGAATATCTGAAGAGAATAAATATCTTTATCATATTCTCTTTACTATATAGATGGTCTAAAATCAGTGTCTGGACAACACATCCCCTGGACAAAATGTTTCCTGTAGCAATTGTTGCTTGGACATAAAAATTCTGTGTCATTCTTATTAATTTTGTGTTTAGCTTCATCCTACATTTTTTCCACAATTATTCATACCATACAGGATGTATAGGCTTTAAGACAAGAAAGAAAAAGCAAGAGATGACAACAATATAGAAAAGAGGGATTTTTTAATTTTTAGATACTATTCATAATGAAAAGGATATTTACCAAAAATGAATCAATAAAAGAAGATGAAGAAGATAAAGTTTTGTCATTGATTATAAATTATTATTCTATTTAGATAAAACATAATGCAAAAGAATGGCCGTTTTATATTTACATTTTCAACCTAATAAAATGCTATAATTACCCATAATGCCAATAATAAATCTATTGTAGCCAAAACTGGAATGAAAATTATCGTTCTGCACTGAACGTTCTGGTTTCCAGTACAAATAACACAAAACAATTTGAAATTAGGCCAATAATTGTTAAAACCCAAAGAAAAAATTGAATAACACCAATTTCAAATAGAAAATAACCTAGTGAACTGCTATTGATTTATTCATACTCTCTCTCTTATAAAAAAATCCTTATGATGTCATCCGCCTACTTTATAGACGCTATGTCAACAAGTAAAAAGTTGTTACATAAATATAATGCCGTGTCTTTTATTATTTAAAGTTTTAATCATCACTTAGTCTTCATTAGCTTTCGTCTTACCTTTCTGGAGTAAAAGTAGCTAATGACTCCTGTATTGATTACATAATACAAAATTTATTATCAATCATACAAAGAACCTTAATTTTTCATATGAAAAGAGGAAAATCAAAAGAATCGCATTCATGGACTTTATAATGACAAATTATAAGCCTTGCTTCAGCTAATTAATTTTTTCTTATATCCTTTACTGCTCTTGCTGGCAAAATTTATGCGTTTGCAAGTTATAACAATACTGGTTCTACAATCCAAAATAATATATTAGCATTGTGGCAAAAATCTCCTTTTGGCTTCTTTAACCTATTGGTATGAATTTAAAAATAGTCCGAAATATTCAAACTTTTAGGAAAAACAGGTGGAAAATATAATATTTTTTCATAAAATATTTATTTTCTGTTGATCCCTAACTAGAACTAATCCAATCATCAATAGACTAATTTAAAAAGTTCCGTATGATAATTATATTCCCAACAAGATGACTTATGCTCACAATTGGATAAGGTTGGTTACTTCAAAAAAATTTGGCATCGTTCCAAATGCTAAAATTTGTGGTCAATATCTTTTTATTACTTTGATCATTTTTATGAAAAACATTAAATTGGCTTCGACAATTGTTAAACTACTTTGCTAAAAGTTCTACTTTTATGTTACAACTGCTATTACAAGATTTTCTCATGGTTAGAGGAACACAAATCTTATATTATCATTTTCTGATCAGTTGCTTGAATTTCTATTCAAAGACTTTCAGAATTTCACATCAATATAGTTTGAATAGTCTGGTTGAAACCCATCGTTAAAAAATTTTGTGTCTTATTTCGAACAATAAATCTATCAAGAGGTAAATGTCATAAAATAGAATTGAAGGAAAAACTGTCAAGATGAATATGATATAATCATATTATTAGTGGCAGACTTGTTATCTTTAAATCAAAGATAACATATTAATATTTCATGTGCTAATGAGAAATGAATAAAATCTTTCGTTAAAAATTCAAAGAGCTTAATAATAGAAGAATTGGTGACAAATGTTCATTTGACTGTAGAAAATATTTGGTTGCATATAAACCTTTAAACAAAAGTTTAAATTAAAATGGTTTATTCAAAATAACAATACTTAAGCAAGTAGTAATATGAGAGTTGAATAGCAGAGTAGATAGTTCATAATAGCAGGTTGTCAAATTACCAAACTGTCTTCCAATGTTGAGGAGTGGAAGGCTGGCTCCAGTTGATGTTGTTCCCAGGTCCTTGGATCCAGATAGGAATGCTTAGAATGAAAATGGTGAGGATTTATATACTTGAGGTTTGCGTCTGATATCCAATCATCACTGTACAGTTGCCAAACTGTAAACAAAAAGTTCATATTTATCTTTAGTAACAGGATGTTACAAGGTTGAACATTTAGGAAGGTTAATTGAATTATAACTTGGCCACACCTTAGGCAATTTAATTGAATTATAACTTGGCCAAACCTTAATTGGTAATTAAAGATGAGCCTTCAAGCTGACTAATCAGACCTGTGTTTGGCCAATGTTGTAGCATTTTCTTGCGTAGGTTTTAAGAGGTACATGTATAAGTTGCATCAAGTAATATAGTTATATAGGCCATTTTCAGCATATGTGTATTGACTTTCTCTATTTCCTGGCTTGGTTCAACTTCAGAGCTGCTTAGCCAAGTCTGAACTATACAACAATTAAATCAAGTGACAACAAGTAAGACATTTTGATGAAGAGCTTTTCATAGCTAACTACCAACCTCTAGGAAGCATACTATATCTAAATTTTTGTGTTTGTATTAAAAATGTAGAAGGCCTAGGCAAAAAAATATGTCTCCACTCAGAACACTGTTCTATCAAAATATTCCCACGCTTTTATGAAAAAAATTAACAAAAACACTCTTAAAATATAAACTATTTTATAAATGGCGAAATCTGTTGGTGTTTGAAAAGTTTTAAATTTCTATTTGGAATTTTTGAAAAGCTTGCCTTTCATAAGAAAGTCTTTTATTTGAAAATTTATGCTGTAGCACAATTTTAAGACCAGAATTTAGTTACATTAAATAATGCAAAAGTAGTTATAGAAAATTGTACCACATCATATAATTCATCATGAATAGTGATACCACAATGGGCAGTTTGATTTTTGGTATTTTTCCATTCAATAAATACATCAGGTGAATTTTATCTGAACAGACAAGATTAGAATTAATTTCATAATTAAACGCTTCAACTTTCACAGTGCAATTTTCTTCTTGGCATATATAGCTTTGTGTGTTGGTCTAAATAGAACTGAATTATGTCTAAACCAAATAAAGGGGGTATAGAATTGAAGACAGTTGAATATACAGTAGTACCACATTTATAAGAGTAATAAAGCTGTATTTCAAGCAACAGTAGGCTTTAGAGGATTGACTCAATCCTGAATATATACAATTCTTTATCAGTTAGTTGTGTTAACAACAAGCATCCAGTCCCCAGTTAAGGATTATTGTCACAACAAACAGGGTCAAAAATTATTGTGTTATGTAATAGTGATGTAAACAACAACAGATTTGTGTAAGTAAACACTTAAGGGTTAATTTTTATTATTGTATTTATATAAATAACACTTGCTTTGTGGTGCATTTGCTTTTAGTTCAATGTATTTACTACCTCCACCTTCTTTAAGATACAATGGACCATCAGTAATAATCTATAAGGAAAAACTGCAGAAACTAAAATTTTTATAAATTTTATGCCTTTTACGTCAATGCCTGGTTTGAATGGGTCAGATTTGATTGTTGAATAAGAAGAATTAGGTGAAGTTTGCACATATAGAGAGTAGGTTGTCTAGGGAGAATTGGTTTCTCTCATTCTAAAACATTTCAGAGCCTCATATTCCCATTAAATGTATCGGTATTTTGTTGGAAAAGTAAAACATGACCAGCCGGAGGCCTATTAAATAGAATTCTAGGAAAAATAGAATGTAGTAGTATGTTATAACCAATCAATATTTATCGATTTCTATCAATTGGTTACAGTAAACAAAAGTCTAATGAACAATCTTAATACTAAAATTCAATAAGCAAATCCAAGTTCACAAAGCCAAATCAAAAATGCATTTTCTACTTACAGAATGCATAAGGTATATTGATTATAATGACAATGTCTATATGACACTCTTACTATCATATTGTTGAATTTTGGATAGTCAATTCAAAAAACATGAAAAAAATGAATAAAACATTTTTTGTGAAATTTTCAATATTCTAAAACAAATGTTTATGATAAAAAACAGAGAGTTGAAAGATATAGGAGGTAATGCTTTACTATAAATTTTCAACTTTTGTTCTTATCCTACTACAAACTGCAGATTATGGACAAACATCTGCAGTAGAAACTAGTTAGTATCATTCTCTCTCTTTCTCTCTCCCTCCTTCTCTCATAATATATCTGTACAGTGCTGAAAGAAATTCTTCATATTATATTTACCCTTCAACCATCCTTGAGAGTCAGTGGTGTGAAACATTTCTTTCGGTACTGTTTTTCAAGATATAAGCCTTTAAAAGAATACATTGTACTTAGGCACAAGGTTGAAAAATGTAGCTTCAACAGTGAATGGGGCAACTTGTGAAGTGAGTAGTACATTTCCAAATGGAGCATTTACATATAACTGCGAAAATGCTTTACAACCAAAGTCAGTTAATATATTAGACTGGTCCCCTCGATGTATTGGCAATAGATGTTATGATAGTTGGTTTCTTGTTAAATTTTCCAAAGAATACAATATTATTGAAATTGGTATTGCTCAGAGGAATTTACCTGATTTATATTACATTTCATCTGTTGAAATTACAATTGGTCAAAAAACACCAATTTATAAATTAAACAATCCTGAAAATTATCTTCTGCTTGAAGAAGGGAATGGAATTAATTGTACCAGTTTAAAATTTAAACCTAAAACCTTTTTTTCAAAAAAGGAAAATTCTGGTTACAATTCTATTATTGCCTATACATTTGACAAAGGTAAAGTGATTTATGATTTTTTTTGTCGTTATTTTGTTATTGGGGCTCTTTTCTTTCCTTCCTTAACATTAGAATCGACTGATGATGAGGAGGATGAAAAATTAGTAAATATAGCTGCATTTGAAATGGGAGCAACTTGTCAAGAGTCAAGTAGTCATACGACTCATAAATGTAGTATGGCACTTCAAAGAAATCAGCATGTTGGTTGGACTGCAAATTGTGGTGGTCAGACGAATTGTTTGAATGAATATATTATCATTACTTTTTCAAAACCTGCCCAACCTTTGCATTATTGCTACATTAACAGGTTTTCAAAAAAACAAGATGTGATCTAATGCCTTCTACTGTACTTTATATTTTTATTTTATATACTAGACTAGACACTTACAATTATGTTAAGAAATTAAGAATTGAATGGACAACTTCCGGTTTTGTTGATACCCTTGAAAATCTACCAGCTGGATACCGCAGTAACTGCTTCAATTATGAACATGAACCAACAATTGAATATTCAGTTAAAGTGATTTTTAAAGAATTTCATGCAGCTAATAGTATTGGATTTACATCTTTTAAAGTTTTTGCAAAACGTAAATTACTTTTTAAAAAAAAAACATTTTAAAATTTATTCTTTTTTCTTCTCTTCCTTTCTCTTAGAGATTTATAATATTTATGATATTCAATTCGTGAATGATGTTGTCTATCATCTGCCTATACATTCTCAACCAGAGTTTAATATATTCAAGTTCAGAGTTCAAGGTCGAAATACTGGACAATCTTCAGACTGTTCATCATTAATTATAAGTATGAAAAATGAAAAAACAAAACAACTTTCAATAAAATTGGATACAATTTCAAATAACGTGGAAAAATCTTCTATTGAAATTTTTGAACCAGAATTCAAAATGGCCGAATTTAGTCATTCAAACTCGTTGATAAGTTGTCAGGTGTGGACTGATTTTTGGTTGAAAATAGCACCATGTGACATAACATTTGGTTTAGGGAAAACGTATGATTTGAATAAACTGGTTAGAATGGAGGGAAAAGTATCAATGAATATTCATGAGATCTTATTCAAAAATGGTGTTACTGATATAATTAATCAAGTGCAAATGACTGATATAGGTATCTTCAAAGGATTTCTTACATTTTGTTATCGAATTCAACCACAAACCAATTATCTCTATCTTTTTTATAGGCCAAAATATTAATTTTCAAAATGATGATTACAATGAAAATCCTGAGAATATGGTGGATAACTGCAAAAGAATAAATTATCCAGCAGCATCATTCGACTATAAAATATTCAATGGAACGGAAGGCTTCAAAAATGATTCAAAACTGGTACTAAGTTTTAAGAAAGATGGAGAATTTAATGATAAAAATGCCAATATTTTTATCAGCTATAGAATAAAAGAAAATGGAGAGGAAGTGATAAATTTATGTAACCTTGAGAATTTTAATCAAAACAATTCATATCTGTATTTCTATTTCCAGTGTAAAAATCTAAATAACAGTTTAACTGATGTTGTTAAAATTCATATACTTTTAGATATTTATCTGGAAAGCAAAGATTTCTACTTTTGCAAATTGTCTTTTATTTGAGTTGTGTGAGGAGAAAATATTGAAAAGGTCATTTTCAAAGTATTATGGGCATCCTAAAAGTTTCAGATGTTTCTATCTCTTTCCTAAATATTTATTAATGTTTATTATTAGTCATGGATTCTGTGTACTTTGTTGTATTGCAATTGTAGGAATTTCTGCTTTAATTCTTTAATTCCTGTGAAATAAGCCTTTCTAAAGTTCTATTGTATCTAGAGTCTAAATATCAGTACATTATTATTTCTAAGTGCACATTTTGTGAATTTAAGATATAATATCCTAAAAAAGATTACTTGTAGATAATTTGTAAGATAAGAAAGAAGTGAAAATGAGTTGTAACTCTATTGGTTGTGCTGTCTAAATATAAATTTTAACTTAGAAATACATTGCACAACTTGTAATTTTTTCTAAAGAAAACAAATTATACAATTTTTTTACCACTTTTCTCTCAATTATGTAATTCTACTAGAAAGAGAAACTAATTATTCCATTGTAAATAAGGTCATGTTTTTATTCTTTTCTTCATCTAGATAGTAGTTGCATTTGTAAGGTTGGAGAGTTGCATAAGATGTAACAAGTTTATTGATTAATAAACTGTAATATTGAAGTTTAGGTGAATACTGCTTATGTCCATCAGTGTTATCTTTGATACTGTACTGCCCTTGCTTGGCCAACTTATAAGTTCGGAAGTTACAACAGTACTGGTTCTACTTGAACCTTTAAAGATACAATAAAACATCCACATGAGTTCTATTGTTAAAAATTTGAAATTTTTATAAATAGAATTTATGTATCTATTTATGAATACCTCAAATACTAACCAGTTAACTTAAAGTTTCTGGGATGTTTTCTCCTGTTTCTGATAAAAGTCTCTCTACAACTGGAATAAGACTTGATTCCTGTTTTAAAATATCTATGAGCATATAAAATGAGCCTTTTGCTTATTAAAAATAAGCTTTTTCCAATTTACAATGAGGATAATCTGCTTATGCAGGATGGTGCTAAATGCCATACATTAGCTTCTAGTAGGAGGTTTATGAGGAGAAGTAAGATAAAAGTTTTGAAAGACTGGCCTTCTAGAAGCCCAGAACTAAATGTTTTTCAGTCTCCACAATTGCCAACCTTCTTATAAGGTTAGTTGGTTTTGGACTGTTGATTTCTTCAGTTTCAGAATTTCAGAGATATCTCTGTAGATTCTCCCCTCTGCAACCTTCTCCTTGACAATTTTGTATAATTTCTTTACAATGCATGTACTGTCTTTTGCGAAGTTACTAAGTACAGTGTCTTTAATGAGTTGTGCCAACTTATAGGCCATTTTTTAATATAAGAGTAGTTACGACAAGTCATTTTCTTATGTATAGTGTCATTATTGGTGGTTTTTCCCTAAGTATAGGCTTATGTAAAATATTCTTCAATTTTATTTTTGTTATGATTTATTTTTCAAAAGATATTCATTTCATATTTTTTAAAAACTTCAAAGTTATCAGATTTAATTTAATAGGTTTAGATGTCTATTCAAGTAGTGTGGAGCAATTGGAATCGCCAAAAATCCAATGGACGTTTTCAACTGGCACAGTTGGTGTTTTCAACACATCCCAAAGTTTCCTGGTGATTCAAGCTTACTTATGGCTACTTTAAGGCTTTGTATCAATAATTGGTGTCAGAAATACAGTGATAAAATAAGAAGAACCAGTTTCCTGTTTCTTTTAAACTATTTTTTTGAAATGAAATCATCCAAAACCTTTGGGTAAAGAATGTCCTGGACATTTACTAACCAACATTCCAAATTAGATCTGATGACAGTTCTACTTGGAACAAAGTTGTTATTTACTTTAAGTATAGACTTTTTTAAGTTTTGAGGTGGTTCATAAAATTCAAATTTTTGGCTTTGGCTATAACCCAAGAGTCCACCAGCTGATTTATATGAATTAATATTATTAATATAAACATCTAGATAAGACCCAAACATTGAATTTTGAGAAATTCTTACAAGAAAACTGTGTTCTCTATAAATATTGTGATATCTGGAAATTTTAAGGTGTAATAAATTTCTTTCCACTCTAAAGTTGATAGTTCTCTCTTCTTTTTTAATTGTAACTGATTGATCTTTCCATTCAAAAATTTTAGAATTTTGCCAAATTACATTTTTTAAGTTTACTTGAAAATGTCTCCCTTCTATATTTACAAGTATTTCATGCATGTAGTAATCATCTTTTAACACGCCATATATGGTAATATTTTCAGATTTGTCAGAGAAAATTTCTATTATATTGCCTTTTGTGGAAGTTACATCAAAGCATATATTTTTGGCGCTTTTTCCATCCCTCTCATCTGCAACCAGAAACCTAAAGTGAGGATCACCATTCCCGCCAGGTGGATCTATAATATCTACACTAACAGTAAATTCTGAATTAAATCCACTCATAACGCAGGGCAAAGTTACATCAACAGTTTCAGTACCCTCTGTTTCACTATCAGTTTTTAAAGACATAGTTGCTGTTGATATTTGACTAGCCCTAGCTGTGAATGAGGTTACTCCCATGAATGAATAATCAGGATGTTCATCTGAAAGACTGAAGAAAAAGCCAGTAAATAATAGAAAAGTCACAAATAAATTTTCCTACCTGCATGACACATCAGCTTGGACATTTGAAACTCTTCAAATGGTGGCTGCCCAATAAGTTCAACTGAAGGAATCGGAGCTGTTATTTCTTGGATATCTGTGAAAAATAAAACATTAGACACAAATCAACTTATTATGAAGTTATAATTTCATAGAAAATAGAAAAAACTACATCTATTCTACTTACTTTTAGAAAAAATCAGAATGGAAAAAAAGCTGAGAATTTTCATGGTCTTCGTTTGTTTCTTTTTCATTTAGACTGCGCAAATGTCTTCTCCCATAGCCTTTTATGGGGACACAGTTGAATGAAATTTTGAATTCATTGTTGTCCATTGAAATCTCTTTCTACATTCTACAATCTCCACTACTCTTTCTATTGAAAGATCAATACAATACGCCTTGATTAATAGAAAACGCCAAAGACCCATGTTTTCATTTCTTGCCAGTTTCTTACTTCTAACTTGGTCATTCTTGAAAGATATGACCGAAGAAAGTGTAAGACAGACTGAATGAGTCCAGTGAAAATAGACAGCCTTTTGTCTGCAAATTTCAAGTATTGCAAAATAGTACAATTACTATTAATAATATATAAAATGTTTAATAAAACAATAATTATTGACAAGCCTTATAAATATTTTACATATAAAAATAGGTCTTTTGCTGTTTTTGACCATTTTCAACCTACATTTGGCCGTTTTCTATCATATTCATCTTGACAGTTTTTCCTTCAATTCTATTTTATGACATTTACCTCTTGATAGATTTATTGTTCGAAATAAGACACAAAATTTTTTAACGATGGGTTTCAACCAGACTATTCAAACTATATTGATGTGAAATTCTGAAAGTCTTTGAATAGAAAT